TCCTTATATTTTGCTAATGATGTGGGATTCTTTGGGCGGGTGGGTTTTTTCCTAAATCCGAGAACGCTAGCTCGACTAGAAACTGCTCACTCCAGAGCTGCTGAACCCTAAACCCTAAATCCTAAATCCTAAACCATACTATCAATTATTGGGGTCCTTTGGACTCTTAGGGTTGCTGTAGCTATGATAGCCAAGACAGGGCTTCTATGAAGGACACAAAACCATATTCAAAATTATGAAGGTTTAGGGTTTAGGGTTTAGGGTTTAGGGTTTAGGGATTATGAAGGCCCCCATACTATCCCCAAAAACCCTATTCCAGTTAATGCAATCTCTAGAGTCTAAACTACTTGGAGGTTCAAATAAGTGGGGGGTTATAAGTAGTGTAACTATACTTATAACCCATATTAGGGGACTTATAGCCCCACTTATACCTACCCATGAACCTCCAAGTAATCCCGCTCAATCTGCCAGGTCCAGCGAGTTACCCGAAGAGCCAGCGGGAAGGGACTCCCTCTGAGCCATTCCGGGCTCATGACCGCAGCAAAAGCCTCAGCTGATGAAAGAGCTTAGGGTTTAGGAGCCCTCAACGCTACACCGATGTTGGATTGTAGGTTGCGGGGATCGGGTTCCCTTAAGGACTTATTGAAGGGTGCCATAATCATGGTTCTATCAGATCCTGACCAGGTTAAAGGATTTTTAGGAGTATAGAGGCCATAACGCATAGAACGGGGTTCCTTTACCTGCCAACAGAACTAGTCCTTTTCTATGAATAACGGGTTGTATCAAGGTTCATGAAACTCCCAAAATCTAAACCCAATGCCCTAGACCCGAAACCCTAAACCCTAAGACCTAAACCAAAGCTCAGTACCTAAACCCTAGACCCTAAACCCTAAACCCGAAGGCCTAAACCAAAGCTCAGGACCTAAACCCCAGATCTCAAGATCCCTGCGGTTTAGGGTTTGGGGTTTTAGGGTTTAGGGTTTAGGGTTTAGGGAACTCTGACAGTTTACTCCTAAACCCTACATCCTTAGAGCCCCTTGCATGACACTCCCATCCTGTAAGCCGTAGAAGCGGACATCACACATCTATACATATTTATATATATAGACAGATAGATAGACAGATAGATAGATAGATCGATCGATAGATAGATAGATAGATAGTATAGGATTTAAGGTTTAGGGCTTAGGTTTTAGGGATTAGGGTTTACGGTAAATAAATAAGCAAATAAATAAATAAACAAACAAATAAACAAATAAATAAATAAATATATATATATATATCATACAGATGTATGTCTATATGCAGCTGTGTTTACTCTCCAGCGCGACCAAGCAGCCACTCGCAGAGATGCCGCTTCAGGTTCGGCATTCGCGGCAGGTCCCCCAGCTTTGGTTTAGGGCTTCATGTATGAGTCTACCCAAGGCCGCATCGTAGCTCCTTTTTGGGGTTACCTTATATAGGATTCTAAATATGAACCCCAAAGAGGAACTACTATGGGGCCTATGGGTCTAGGCACTCGAGGGTTGTAGAGCTCATAGGGATTTCGGATTTAAAAGTTGGGGTTGATTGAGGGATAGGAAGGCTCAGGGGGTACAGGATGGTATAGATGTGAAGCCAAGTCTTTTCTATGTAACAACAATAGATACTAAACAACACTGAGGTTTCGGGTTCAGGCTTAAAAAGCGTATAAGGTGCTAGGGGTGGGCACCATGCTGTAGTAGGGTTTGGAATGGTACTGGCTTCCCCTTCTTTGGGCCCACTGCTGCGCGCCGTGGGTGCTCAGTCTGGAGGTTCAGGGCTTTAGGGTTTCGGGGTTTAGGGGTCTTTGGCTTTAGGGGTCTAGGGGTCTAGGGGTTTAGGGGTTTAAGGTTTAAGGGTTTGGGGTTTACGGTCTTGGCGGGTTCAGAGTTTAGGGTTCAGGAAGGAGGGCTGACCATAGATTTCACCCAAGGCTCAACATCATCCAGAAACCCTCATGAAGTAGAACGGGGGTCTGAATAATTGGCATAAGGGCATTTAGTTTTTTGAGGGGTACAAAGCTAAAATCAGGGATTAAGCTGCAAGGTCACCGGTTTTGGCCACGTCTACAAATCACAAACCTGCATTCAAGACTCTCCTAGCCGGGAGTACCCAAAGGGTCCTAATGTTGCAATCATGTCGGGCCCAAAAAAATCCTAGAAGTATGTACTACCTTAAGCCCAAATAACCTACCTGTTGAAGGGACTGATATAAAGAAGCCCCCTAAAAAGGTAGTTTGTTTAGGGTCCAGGGATGTTATATTCGACTCCTTTGGGCTACACCATAAACCTGAAACTCCCAACTCAGTCCAGATGTGGGACTTTCCGAAAATTAAGGTACCTTATTTTGGGGTCCTTATGATAAGGAACCTATTATTCAGGGTACCATATTCGGGTCCCCTATTTTTGGAAACCCCCATATGACGCTCGGAGTACAAGCAGATTGCTTTTGCAAGCTCGCACAAGCACATCCGGCAGCATGCGGTGGCTAAGTGGACATGCGGCTTGCTCGGAAAACCCTAAACCCAAAACCCCTAAACCCTAAACCCCTAAACCGTAAACCCTAAACCCCTAAACCGTAAATCCTAAACCCTAAACCCTTGCTCGGAATCCCGACCCCTCCGATCGTCTAGAAAATTAGGCAGTTGGCTCTTCCCAGACCTGCCACAATCCCTTACTCTTACGGTTTAGGGTTTAGGTTTTTGGCTTTAGGGTTGTGGGTTTAGGCTTTAGAGCTTTGGGTTTAGGCTTTAGGGTTTAGGGTTTAGGGACACCAAAAACTCAACCGTAGCTCCACGCTCCCAAAACAGAGATTTTACATGTAAAACACAATAACACGTTCAAACTTCACCGTAGTTCCACACTCACACAAGCAGATTTCATAGGCAAATCGCACTAAGACGCCCAATATCCGGCCAAAGTTAATTCTGCACCCAAATCGCATTAGGATTAAGGTCTTTTGTTCGGAGACGAGTACCACAGTCGCGAAGACGGACATCTTTGTTGTTTGTCCTTGTTGTTTCGATGCTCTTGCTTCTTGTTAAAGCACAAAACACAAAAGGCTCTAATGACACATAATTTAAGGCTTTTGGGCCCACAAGCCATATCATTTAAGGCCTTTGGGCGATTTTGATCATTCCTAAACTGTGCTGCAGCTCCACGCCCCCCCCCCCCCCCCCC